CATCTATCCATCCATCCATCCACTCATCCATCCATCCATCCATCCATCTACCCACCCATCCACCCATCCATACATCCACCCACTCATCCATCCATCCACCCATCCCTCCACCCACTCATCCATCATCCATCCATCCATCCATCCACCATCCAGTTTTTCACTACATTAATATCTATAGCAATCTAGCTACATGCCAGGCTCTCTTTTGGTGTCTTGAAGTCATTCAGTCACATGGAAGAGACAAATAAGAAATAGATTAACTAATCATTAGTATTAGCAAGGACTTGGAAGCTTGGAACAGGATCAAGGGGATGAAGAATGATAAGAACAAGTGGAGGGTCAGGGAAGGTCACTTTCAGGAGGTAGCATCTGGCAGCATCTCAAAGGAAGTGAACTGAGTTATGCATGAAGACATGAGATAAGGGAGAATATGTGGGGAGATTATGTATTGATGGATTAGTTGAACCAATTCTCCACTCAGAGATAGCAAAGAGGGTATCAGCCACCTGTGTTGCATAGGGAATGTGCCTAATATGACACAAGGAAGGCAAAAGCTCACTCTGAGTATGTCTGTTTTTGAAGATGGTGTAACTTATGTGAATGCTTGAGATCAATTTCCTTGTAAATGAAATAGAGGTAGGATACTTTCTATTAGGTCATTCACTTATCCATCAGCAAAGATTCATGGGGTATATCCCGCATTACAAGCATTGTGTTAACCTCAAGGAACTCATAGCCAGAGGGGAAAAGGTCATTTAAAAAGTATGTATTTATGGATAGGGGAGCTTTATTAGGGAAGTTCTGAATGCTCCCTACATGTACCTCGAGTAGCACATCTAAACTAGGTAAGAGGGGTCAGAGGTTTTATCTACGTTTCCCACATTGTTTTGGGTATCAAGTAAGATAACAAGTAAAGTACTTGTCTAGTACTTGGTAAGCCCACAGGCAAAGTTGGTTCTTTTGCTTCTGATTAATCTAAACACATAGACCCCCTAGAAAGAAGTGTACATCATCAGAGCCAGCCTCCCAGTCATTATAAGAATTCAGCTTAACTTATTGTGTCTCAAACAAGTCCATATAAAATAAAACAGTCAAAGACAGCCCTTATAAAACAATAGCTTCATAAGGAATTAAGGGCTTGAGTTCCTCCCAGCAAGCTAACACATTTTTTGTAGCCCTCAATGCACATTTGGATCTGTTAAATCACAGAAAATATAATTGTTTCCTCAGGTGCACAAATAAACAAATATGTGGGCTGCCTGTATTAGACAAAGGCAATAACTGACTATGACAATTCAGAAGTAATACTGAAGCAAGATTAGAATGCCAGTTGGCTGGCAACCTGTTGAAGAAGCCAATTATAAGCTGAGAAAGGAACATCAGCAAATATTGACCTAATGTACATGCACATTGCTGACCATTCCGCAGTTGTAACCTCCCTCCCTTCTTGAGTAAAGAACTGGGGTCCTTTCTTGATAATTCACCTGGCTTCCTTCATGTCCCATCTCCAGACTGCAGCTGCACTTTGCACCTCACATTTCACTTGCCAACCAGTCAGGTCCACCTGACTGCTGGTCAAATCTTAGATGAGAGGGATTGAGTAGATAATGTAACTCCTTTTGCTCTTCCTAGAGGAACAGGACCCAGCAAATATCCAACACCTTTAACTAGGAGAAATCATGGAATAGATTTTTCTTCATTCTTAGCAGAGTAGAGTTTGCTTGAGAGGAAGGGTAGAAGCATGTGGATGACCAAATTTTAGAAAGCTACTTTTCCTGGAGAAACGCCTCCAGGAAGTCTCAAAGTGTACCTACTTGATTCTTAATTAAATGGAAACCACAAATCTAACACATGGTGACATTTTGCATGTATCATAATTCTTCCTCATCTGTGGTTTTACTTTCATGGTTTTGGTTGCTTACAGTCAACTGTGACCTAAAGATAGTAAGTGGAAACTTCTAGAAATCAGCAATTTATAAGTTTTAAATCATGTGCCATTCTGAGTAGTGGGATAAAATTTTGCACTATTGCACTCTACTACCCAGAGGTGAATCATCTCTTTGCCTAGCATATCTATGCTGTATACACTACCCACTCATTAGTTCACAGTGTCTTAGTTACCAGATGGACTGCTGTGGTATCATAGTGCTTGTATTCAAGCAACCTTTAATTTATATAATAATGGCCCTAAAGCACAAGAGTAGAGATGCTGACAATTTTTATATTCTGATGAGAAGCTGTTAAGTACTTCCTTTAGAGGAAAAGGAGAAAGCACAATAAAATATTAGCAGAGAGTGGGGGGATATTTACATGACTTTCATGACAGGATGTTGTTATAATTGTTTTATTGTATTGTATTAATTGTTATTAATTTACTATTGTGCCTAATTCCTAAATTATGCTTTGCTAATTAGCCTATGTGTATATGAGAAAAATACGGTATATGTAGGCTTCAGTACTATCGCAGATTCATCTATCTACTGGGGTCTTGGAATTGTCCCTACAGATAAGTGGTGACTATCCTAAGTTCCAATTTGGTTGAATTTTGTTCATGCCTATATAGACAAGGTTCTTATGGTAGATTAAATAAGTCACTTGCAGTGTGGACATATATGATTCAAAACATGGCTGATCACAAGAGAATGAGAACAAGGAATACCCTGTTAGGAATCCTGAGACCTGGATCATAGAAGCTCTGGTGCTCATGGTTTGTGTGACATTGGGTGAACCTGTTTTCTTGGTGCTCTACAGTTTCTCTAAAAATATCCATAAGAGATAGTTTAGGGTGTCCCCCCACTATGTCTCTGTGAGCTATGAGCTGCTGCAGGTTCTGCAGCAAAGGTCCTCTGGCCCTGTCTTTGTCAGTTAGCAAACCCTTCACAGTCTCCTCTAACACTGTCTAGAGGACATGCCTGGTGCAGATAAGAAGCCCTCTGCCCATGAAAACGCAGTGCAGAATGCCTGATTCCTATTTCTTCTTGGAAGTTGACTGGTGCTGTCTGCAATTGTTTCCTCCTCATGGATTATATATAGAGGGAACATCATGGAACCACAAGAAGACTGGACACAATTTCCCAAAAGCCTGTATTTTCAGTGGTTTCCTTGCAAGAAATCCAGGCTCCTGTCACTTTCTCTGCCCACATTCTGTCAGTTCCAGAAGGAGAGCATGAGGCCTAATGCCTAAGGAGATCAACTGTGAGGCCTTACCAGTGTTTTCCAGTAAGAGTTTAAATATTGTTATGGTTTAGATCTAGAATGTCCCCCAAAGTCTCATGTGTTTGGAAAGTAATTAGAACATGGGGGCACTATACTGATCAGTGGATTCATCCCTGGATGAGTTCAGTAGCAGAATGGGCTATTAAGAGGTGGGGCCTCACTGAAAAAAGGTCACTTGGGGTGTGACCTGGAAGGGTGTATTTTTGTCTTTGGATCCTCCTCCTTTTCTCTACTCCCAGGCTGCCACTGGGTGATCAGTTTTTCTTTGATCATTTTTTTCCACCATGCTGTTTCTGCCTTGGAGCCAGCTGAACATGAAATGTATCTTCCAAAAACCATGACCCAAAATAAACCTCTCTTCCTTTAAGTTGTGGTGCCATGTATGTCCAAGTAATGGGAATGCTGATACACATGTTTATAAATGTTTGCAAGATATTCTTTCTTTACACTCTGGAATAAGGTCCATCATTCCCCATCACTGGGGCATTTTCTGAGGTGAGGAGGAAGGGAGGATAGAGAAATACTGACAACCTGGAGGCTCCTCCATCTCTGCAATCTGCAGTCAGCATGGTTTACTTGGAAACTTCTGCAGTTGTGGTGATTGTAAATACAATCATACTGATTCTCTTTCTAAAGGATCATCTGTAGCCATTTTGTTCCTTTTTTATGGTACTGGGGATTGAACTCAGGGCCTTGTATATGCTAGGCGGGCACTCTACCACTGAGCTACATCCCCAGTCCTGTGCCATTAGTATTATTCAGACCTCACTGAATTTTGGTCTTGTGTGACCCTGAGGGAAGAGTCTGAGCCCCAAACTTCTCATCCACAAAGGAGGATTTGAGGGCTTATTGTGCACTGAAGCTATAAGGCCCAAAGGAGACAGCACATGAAGAACTCCAGACACAGCCCCAGCCCAGCGAAGACCTTCAGTAAGAAGCTGCTGCTTTGATCCCTACTTAGTAGCCCTGGATTACATCTGCATGACAATGGCAGAGGAATTAGTGTTCAGCAAGGAGAGTGAGCCCCAAGGGCTATCTTGTGAACAGCATGGACACCCAGAGATCATTCACCATATGGAACCAACAGTGGTGGGAGGAAGGGGATTCATAATCAAAAACTCACCTGGCTGCTGCCTCCAGCTGTTCTTTCCTAGAAGGGGAAGAGGGAAAGAAAATAAACAAAGCATAAATTATATGTAATGGCTGCATCCTTCCCCAGAGTCTGCTCCACAGCTTCTCTTAGAAAGTGATGGAGGAGAGTGGACTTGTAAGACAAGATAGCTAGTGTGGACAGGAACCAGGGAGAGAGGCGGGCTTCCCCAGGCAGACTCAGGGCCCTGCTGCCGCCGTACGGCTCTGTGGTCCCAAGATTCTTCTCATTCATCCATTCATCCCAGAAATGGTTTGCTCAGCACCTTCTCTGCCCTAGGATTTGTTGAGCATTTGTTGATTGATGGGGACAGACTTGAAAGCCAAAACCTAAGAACTGGGCTGCACGCTTTGCTCCCTCTTGTACTATCTGGGTCATATTAAGCAAGCTAATTAATCTCAGTGATGTCCTGATTCTTTTAAAATGAGGTTATGAAAAATGAAGTTACTCCTGCTTACCTTCTAGAATATTCTAACTGTTAAATAAGATAGCATCCATAGAAATAGATTCAATATTATTTGAGCACAGGGAATGGCAACTGCATATAGGCCCCTTCTGGTCTAAGAAAGAATAAGTTCTGGGTATACAATGGACTGTTTTTGGCCAAGTACTTCGACCTCCTATTTTGGTTGTAATATCCAACATTTTTCACAGCTTGGATGGACACATACAGCTATTTATATTCAAATTAAATACAATTAAAAATTAATTGCCTCAGTTGCACTAGTAATAGTCAAATGTTCAATAGTCAGTGTGGCCAGTGACTAACGTTGGGTAGTGTAGCTGTAGAATATATTAAATGATATGCAGTTCCACTGTTGCTTTTAGGGACCCAAGTAATGTACCTGTTCTTCTGTTGATGGAAAGCAATGTCTAGTTTTTAAAAGATTCCCTCATTCCTGTAGAGAAGGTATAAACTACATATAAACTACTACTGTAAACTACATTCTCTACTCCATCATTTTCTTGTCATCAGATTTCTAATACTCACTGTACTAAATCCATACATTCTTCACTAGCCTACAGATCAGAAGACCTGGGTTTGGTCCATTTATGGCCACCATAAATAGTTTGTCTTGTGTATCTTCTAGAACTTCTAGGAGGTGTCAGTTTCTTCTTATATAAAATGGAGTTTAGATCTGAAACTTTCTGAAGGTCTTTGTAATTCAAAAACAGTGAGTTTATCATTATAAGTAGCAATAAAGGAAAAATGAAAAATGTAATGTCACCATCCATCACTGCTAGCCTCAAACATACATCTGCAAATTAGCAAAGGACTGGACCTAGCAGGGAGTTTGTAATGAGTATGGCACCATCACTGCAAGTGGACTGCACAAGTTCATCCTTCACCACTTTTGGCAGGAAGGTAAACTGCTCTCGACACTGTAGAAAGCAGTCTGGTGGTCCCTCAATAAGATAAACAGAGAGTTGCTGATGGTACTCAGAAGTATATCCGCTAAATAACTTAAAACATGTCCACACAATAACATGTGCCTAAATTTTCATAGCAGTATTTTTCATGAGCATTAAAAGGTGGAAATAACCCCCATGTCTATCAAGCGATGAATGTATAAACATAATATTGTATATCTAGTGGGATACCATTTAACCATAAAAGCAGTAAAATTCTAATATATGCTACAACATGGATGAAACTTGAAATCATTATTCTAAGAGAAAGAAAGCATGCATAAAAGACAGCGTATGATAGGATTTTGCATTACATGAAATGTTCAGAATGGGCAGAAGAGAAACAGGAAGTAGATTAGTGGTGGTGGGTGCTGGGAGATAGAGGGAATAGGCAGTAGCTGCTAATGAGTACAGGGTTTCTTGCCAGTACAATGACCCTCATCTGGAATTAGATAGTGACCAATGCTGTGAACATACTCAGAGCCTCTGAATTATCCACTTGAACAGGGTACACTGGATGGTATGTGAAATCCTCTTAAGATTGTGAAATGTATCTCAATAAAATTGTTATTTTTTAAAAAAATAAGCAAAATTCCTTTGAGAGGCAGGTGAGGGTACATCGATGCATTGTCAGCTGGTTCTCTGTCATTAACAATATGGTGTGGGCTGGAATTCAGGGACATTCTTTTCCCAAGGGACTGCTTTGTTGCAGAATGGTTGCTAAGTGTACTTCTCCAGTGACTTTATACTTTTGTCCTTGAAAAAAAAAGGAGAGAAAGAAATGTTTTCTCTCAGTTTTAAAGCCTTTGCCGTATCACAGTGGCTGTCTGAAGCACAATGTAGTCTTCTAAGTCTCTGACAGCCAGGACAATTCTTTATTGATAATAAATCAACCCAAAAGAATAGGCCTATTGCCAAGGCCTTGGGATGCACAGTGAATGGAAATCGTTTTGACTCTGCATCCAGCATGATTGTCCACACTCTCTTTTTGAGTTCAAGGTCATTCTGTTCTTTTAAGAGGAAGCCACCTGCCCATTCTGCCCATGCCTTGCTTTATGCTACCACAAGCCCCAAGCAGGCATGCCAACCTTTAGTCTGCAGTGCTTTTGCTCTTGTTTTTTTTTATGTTGAAGTTTCATTATTTATATATGTTAATCATATTATATATTTTATATGTGGCAAAGGTAATTCCTCTGTACTCAAAAAAATGAGGGCAAAACTAAGGTAAGCTACAAGTAATAATGATGATGATGATAGTAGAATTTTAGAAGCAAAAAGAATGATATACGTTATACAGTATTCTGAATAATTAATAACAAGTCAGAAAACACAGGGAGTAACCCCAAGCTTATCTATTTATTGAAGAGTTGATTCATCTCTCTAACTCTTCTATAAATCATTGGTCTCCTTTACTTATTCTTCAGATCCTTGGCCTACCCCTCATTTCCTGTCTTTCTGAGCTCAGTGATCATTTGCTAGCTGACCTCCTGTCTTGTAATCTTGAGCTTGTCTGATCTTTCCCTTTTGTCATCTTCCCTAAACACAAATCTGATTGTTATCATTCTCTCCCTGCTGCAGCATCTTGGCTTCATGATCAGTTAAATTCCTCCATAAGTCACCTGCGACTCTTTGTGGTCCAGTCTTGTGCTTAGCTCATACCATACAAAGGGCTCAAAGACAGAGAGAAAGTGGCATGTGCCACCAGCAGCCCTTGAGAGGCAAATGGGCAATGAGAGCTCAGGTGGGAGAGATCAAAAAGGCCTTGTGGGGTCTTGTGGGGTCCTGAAGTTCACAGTCAAGTTTTGCATTTTATCTGTGTCATACTCACCAACTGTAAGGCTTTATACAGGGCAATGGGTCAACAGAACCCAAATATCTTGTATTTCTTTAAATCTTTACCACTATCTGGTGATGAGAGTAAACGGATAAACTGAAGCAGCATTGAGAGTCTGGTCACTGAAGAGCCACTCATCCACTATACGTCATACTATGGCCCATTAAAACAACTTGACAGAAATGCATCAGAGCAGACCCCAACCCAGAAGCCAACTAACTGCCCCTCTGTGTTTCCTTCCAAGGATTCTAGGAGCCCAGCACTCTACCCACATGCTTAAAGCCCAAGCTCAGTATGTGAAACCTACAAAGGAGTGGTCTGCATTAGAAGCTCAAGTAAAAAGACTGTGGGCTTTGGAGGCCTCTATATAGGGCTGATGTGGTCAAAATATCCCAAGTTTCAGAGCCTTGTTCTTATTTGTGCATAGAACCTGGTAACTCCTACCTTCAGCCTGTCTTCAAGTGTGCACTGGACCATTGTGTCCATAACCATAGGGAAAGGGACATGGGTGAATGGGGGTTGTGTTCAAGATGATTTTACTACCAGGCCTCCTGGTAGATGCTGAGACTGGATTTTCAAGATATTCCGTCCATTCTAATGCACCTTAACACTTGAGACCTACAAGATGGCTGAAAGGATCAAATGAAATACGAACTTTGATACTTGGGACACATACACTAATTTCCAGCTTAAGCCTCCCCCACCAGCCAGAAGTTACCTGATAGGCAGGGTGAAATAGCTGTTAAGAAAGTATCCACTCAATTTTGAGTAGAAGTAGAGTCTGAAGAAGCAGGAATAAGCATGTTCAGCCACCCTAGCAATCTTGGGGGCTCCCGCAACCTGACTGTCACCTCCACCCACAGACCACCCTTCAGGAGAAAGAAGGTGGAAGAGGAAGGCAGGAAAACTCATCTGGAGACCCAGGGACACTGTTTTGTGTTCTTAGAGATGAAAGACTGAATTAAAGACCTTGGGGAAAAATACCTCTTCCTGTGGCCAATGTATAGGGAAAAGGAACTGGAAATTAGTGTGCGTGTCCCAAGCATCCAAGTTTGTATTTCATTTGATCCTTCCAGCCATTTTGTAGGTCTCAAGTGTTAAGGTGCATTAGAATGGAGGGAATATTTTGAAAATGCAGCCTCAGCATCTACCAGGAGGCCTGGTAGTAAAATCATCTTGAACACAACCCCCACTCACCCATGTCCCTTTCCCTACGGTTATACACACAATGGTCCAGTGCACACTTGAAGACAGGCTGAAGGTAGGTGTTACCAGGTGTTACTTGGACCCCAGTCCTAGGGATTCTGACTTAATTAGCTTGGAGTGTGACCTGGAGATCAAGATTGTTTGAAGCTCCTAGGGGGCGCTAATGTGCAGCACACGTTGGGAACCATTCTCCCACTTCCCTGAATGACATCCTGCAGAAAACCTTGAGGCCATGACACAATTACAGACTACACAGACCACAGGATGGAAAGCCATCCACATCCTGACCATTCAGACAAGTGGCCACTTACCTGAAAAATGGAAAAGAAACCACTGATTCATAAAACCTCCAGGTTGCCACGAGGTCAATCCTGTTGGGGTTGGTAGCATAATACCTCCAGGCAGCCTTAGAAGGAAAGAGGGGCACGAATGACATGATATCACCTGTAAAATGCTTAAGATCTTGACTCCTATGAATTTGAAAGAGCCCTAAACTACCCTTCACAGATGCCGAGGTTCCTGGTTTTTTGTATCTCCTTTGGAAAACGAAAATACCTGACCATGTTGGAACTGGTGCTGTGCTGGGAAGAGGTTAAGGGCGGTGAGATGGAGTAGAGAGAGAGAAAAGCCTATAAAGCCCCTGAGAAAAACAGGAACTACTCTTTCTAGAATGTTCCCAGAGACTTCTCAAACAGTTAAGAAAGCAGACAATGTCTTTTGTGCCACTTCTGAGTGCAAAAAGTGCCTGGGAAATGAGGTTTTGCTTTTAATGTACTAGAACCTCTGGGATGTTCTGTGGCTTAGGGTTTGGAGGGGATAATGGGACAGACTCTTGAAAACTGGGACAGGCCTAGAGAGTCAATATGTAGGATGCCATCAACTATCAGGCCATGTCAGACCTACAGAGACGCCCACCACAATGGACACCAGCTCACAAGTGCGTGGCCATCCCCTGAACATTCAAGTAGCTATAGGTGGGACACTATTTTCCTATTCACTATGCTCCCACACACCCAAAACCCATAAAATCATGATGCAGGAACTTCTTTAAAGTGTCAGAAGAACTCTTTTGCCCTGGCCCCAGCCAGCAGAGGGGAGAGGTGGGGATGGAGAGCGGACCATCACTTTCAGAGTAGGACAGATGGGCAGAGTGGCTTTTTATTTTCACATGTAAGAAATACCTTTGTCTTTTGATTAGGAGCTCTCTATCTTTGACAGATATGAAGAGACTGAATTTCTTCCTGTAGCTTACTGGCTAAGCAGCAGGGCTGCAGGCTGACTCTTCCCTATGGGTCCCTAGTTCAGCTTGGAGTAAGAAGCAGAATACGCCTGTACGGCCACAGGTCTAAGCAAAATTCTCTTCTCCAACATTAGCAATGAAAAGCTGCTGTCCTCATTCTTGAGTCTTACATTTATTTCTTACTTGGCCTAAAATTTGGATGGGACAGCAATAAGACTGTTGCCTTCATCACACGCAGAGATGGGTCAGGTAGATAACCGTGGCTGTTGCCCATAGGGACCCACAAGTAATGCACGTGCAAGCAGGCCCACTCCTGCCTGGGTGTGCATGTGCATGTGGATGGTACACACATGTGTACACTCACACCCCCCCCCACATTGTCTGGGATCCTATTTCCTATTTGCAGGCAGACAGACCTGGATAAGCTCAGCTGCTGGCTTCCTCCTTTTCTCAAAGTGCTTCTGACGGTGCTGTTCCTGCACCTTGAGTGCCAGTCCTGAGCCCAGGATACCCTGGAGAGAAAAGCCAGACTGCAGTCAGCCCCACCACACTCCCCCCAGCACCTCAGCCCCACCGCCAAGGTGGCAGGTGATGAAGGACTCAGTGGCTCCATAATGACAACATTGCATGAAGGGACAAAGGGATGAAGGAGGAAAAGGATCCCTCTTTCTTGAGATGGGAGGGGTCTTGGATAAGTGCAATAAACCTGAAGTCAGGAAGGCTGGGGTTCCAGTCCTGACAGCCCCTATCTGCCTTTGAGATGCTGGCCAAGACTCTCATCATGCTGAGTCTCAGTTTCCGCCACAGGTTCATGAGATAACAGTACACCAAGCAATAGAGAGATAATGTGTTGGAACTTCCCAGTGAGAAGTATAGCACAGAACAGACATTCAGTGAATATGCATTGAATTTAAAACGATATTTTAGCCAGGGATATAGCTCAGCGGCACAGCGCCTGCCTGGTAAGCACAAGGTCCTGAGTTCAATTCCCAATGCCAAAAAAATTTTTTTAGGAGCTTGAACTGTCCCTTGGAACATGTACTGTAGTCAAACTTGTCAAGAATTGAGATTTGTTTTAATTTCCCAGCCAGACTTGCATGTGGATTAAGTGGATAGAAGAATACACTTTTCAAAATGCAAGAGGTCTTAGAAAGACTGAAATATCCCTACATCTCTCACTTAGGAGAAAACTGAGATTCCATCATATCTTCAAAGTCAAATAGCCTAGGGGAAAAAAAGATAAGGCAAGGCTGCTGACAGAGGAAAAATTTCATCAACTACAGCATAGTAGATGGAGGGGTAGCGCAGGGATTATTATCTAAGAAGATTCTTTTCAAGCTCCATGGTTAAGAGTCAGACATTAGAAATGGCCAGATTTGAGACTCTTGACTTCACAACCCAGGAAAATTTACTAACTGAACTAAATCTCAGTATTTGCATCTGGAAATTGGAGATAAATAGAACAGCAAACTCATAGGGCTGTCATGAAGATCGAATGAGATGATATAATGATATAGGTAAAGGATTTGGTATATTTGTGCACATGGCAAGTTCTGTAAGGGCCATCTATTATTATTTTGTCTTTATTTCCCTGGGCATGGCCTTGGGGAAGTTATTCTATCATATGCCAAGACTTACTCTTGAGAGAAATGCATTTTTTATGTACATTAGTAAAGGACAGGGCAAAGGAAAGGAGTTTCAATATACAAAGAACCTGACCTATGCTAAGTGCTGGGAAAACATGGATAAAAGAGAGAATCCCAACTCCTAAGGATCTCAGTCTTCTAGGTGAGACAGGGAGCAAATGTGCAACTTCAGCATGGAGTCAGAAATGGCTTCAGAGCTATGCCCCAAAGAGGGAGTGATCAACTCAATCTAAATAAGGCGCTATTGAAACTAGGTCATAGAGGAGGAGTGGATGATTGGAGGAATGGTGCCTAGCAAAGTGAAACAGGGCAAGCCCTGAGAGGCAGGAGAGCCAGGTTTAAGGGACTAGCTGGTGAACTGATAAAGCTTAGAATTTAAGGTGCAGAAAGTTGAAAGTTGAGGCTGAAAATCTGAGATGGGTCAGGCAGTAGGCGGACCCCACATGACATACATCAAAGGTACTTACTGCTGGAAGGGCAAAAAAGGAGACGCCAATTAAGGAGAAGGTGGCAGCGATCAGACGGCCTTCCCACGTTTTAGGTGTCTTGTCTCCATAGCCAATAGTGGCCAGTGTGATCTGAGGACAGAAGAGTTCAGATGTGGGCTCCCCACGAAGGGGACATCAGTGATGTGTTAGTTGAGCTCGACCTCTGAGACTCTACTACTTAGGTGTTGCTCCCATTTATAACGAGATTCCCGTGGGAGAAAAGTACCAAGTACTAAGTAACTTATGAGGGAGCATTGAGACAGCAGCCTGTTTCTGAGTTAATGATTTCCTACCCACAGTCAGTAAAAAATTTCAAGAAATTGTGAGTGTGTATTCATGTGTACATGTACAGTTTGCTCTCTGTACTTATGGATCCCATGTCTTTGGACTTAACCAACTGTGGATCAAAAGTACTTGGGAAAAAGACACAATAAAATACCAATACACAGGGATAGCTGGGATAGGTGTATTGCTGATATCCATTGATTTATTGAAAGGAACAGTTAATGGCTATTTTTTTCTTGACCAATTTTGCATGCTTATACCTGGTAATCAGAACAACTAACTTGAAAACAATATGCAGTATAACAACAATTGTTGAATTCCTACCATCTTATCTAGTGAAGCTTTGTATCATTTCTAACTTTTTTTATTACTTGTTACTGTCTTTAATTGTTTGATCACTCTTGCATTCTTACGTGTGGAAATCTGAGCAACTTCATTGAAGATAACAATATGTAATACAACAACCACTGTTAATTCTTATCATTTTGTTTTGAAATCCTGTATCATTTTTATTGTTTGTTTTTGTCTTCATTGTTATTATTTTGTTATTTTTTCTCTTTAAAATAAAAAATAGCAATACAACAATAAAAATCAATTAAAAACATATACCAACAATTTATACATTTCCATTGTATTAGGTATTATAACTAATATAAAGATGATTTAAATGTACTGGAGGGTATGTGTAGGTTATGTGCAGATACTATACTATTTCTAGTAGATATTCGAGCATCTGTGGATTTTGACATCCATGGGGGATGAGGAATCTTGGAACCAATTTCCTGTGGATACAGGGGGAATGACTGTATTTGTGATTGTGTGACTTTATGCATGGCCATTTCTATGAATTGTGTTTCTGAATGTGTTTGTATAGACAGCATACACATGTGCAAATCTGCGCCAGTGACTGTTCTCATTCGTGTAGTATATTACACTGTATATTTACATGTTTATGTTAGCAGTACACCTGTAGCTGTGCACATGCATCTGCCTGTGGAGAACAGGACAGAGGGTAGGTAACACTGTGTATTGTGGAATCCAAGAATCTGCATAAAATAACAGGGCAAACCCTCTCATGGATGAGAAACTTTAAATCAGACACGTAATTTTTCAGTTTCCCCATTTTTCAAAAGGAGTTTGAGTTTAAAGTATGTTAGTAAATGTAATAGGCTCAGAGTTATTCTCTGCAGCAAAATGAGACTTAATAAATGACAGCTTTAATACCTTGTGGATGTGGGGCTGCAACATAGACCTGTGTCATCAGATCTATATGCATATGTATGTACCTGCCCTTGCATTTGCACATGAGGGGCCTGGCTGAATACAACCTATGGCTAACAAGGTAAAGTCCCTAAGAGACCATGCAACCAGACTATTGTCAGCCCTATCTTCATATAAGCACTGTAAGAAAGTCATTCCAGGTAAATGCCGTGGGGTTGGAGTGTCCTGTCTGTGGTTCAGAGGTAGAAGAGGTGGTTCACCTCCGACCACAGAGTAATGTTGCCTGCCTGACCAGGTCCATACCATGCCTTCCACTTCTTTGTGTTTCTAACAGTCAGTCCCCATGCAGTGTGGTCAGATGACTCACCAGGCCCCACCAAAGGGCATCTGCATAGGTCTCAAACTCCTCTTTCATCTCCTCTCCTTGTGCATCCACTTCTGGCACATCTTTCTCGACCAGGTAGACAAGAAATGAAGACAGGATGAGCGTTAGGAAGCCGATGTACCAGGCGGTGATGAGTTCCTGGAAGAATCAGCAGTGGGTGAAGGAAGTAGTCACTGAGAAGTCATTGGATGGATGCTGGAGCCAGAGGTCCTAGAGCTGGAGTCCAAGTATAGTGGCAAATGACACACTATTCTACATTCTCAACATCCACTGCTATAAAATGGGATCAGCACTGTGGGCATTATTTCCACCACTGAGTAAGGGACAAACGGATGGACCTGGGAGCAGAGGATGACTTTTTGTCAGGGAGATCTTGATATCACAGTTCAAGAGGCTTCATGGGAAGGTGACAAGTCAGGAACTACTGGCCACTGCATGAGGTAAGACTCGGGGCTCAGGAGTCTTGGTTCCCTGCAGGCTCCCCCAGCAAGGATAAAGCTCAGTCTTACAGGGAAGTTGATGGCAAGAGAGAGCTAGTAGACAGGATTCAGCCCTGCCACCAATTTGATGACCTAGGACAAATTATCTTTTCCTCCCCAGCCTGAGTAGTCTCATTTTAAAATGAAGAGGACCCCAAGGGACCTGAAAATGTCACAGATGCTAAGTATTTATGTTAAATGGTTCTATGTTAATATAGAACATATGTGACACATAAAACATGGACTTTCATGGATATTGTCCCATGAGAAATTGGGAAAATGAGTTGGTAAACAAAAGTAAGTTGATTTAAAGGAAAATGTTAACTGGAAAACAGAGATCAGCAAAGCATAGACATTTCAAAAAGCCTGATGGAGACAATCCCGAACATCCTTACCAGTTGCTACTTTCTCTATTTTTTATTCACCTCCAATGTCATTAGCATGGTAGGGTAAGTGGGAAGAAAGTCAAGATTAGTGGTGAGCACCATTCAGACATGAAGTGTGCTGTTCCTGATGAGACATCACAGAGGGCAACCTTGGTCCTGCTAGGGTCCTCGCCGTGGCCGACAGTCTGCAGCCAAGCAGCTGCCTTCTTGGTCAGGAGATCGTCATGGACAAGGACAGTCATGACTGCTGCCCTCCCCCACAGCTGGGGCAAACTGAAGCCTCCAACTCTCCTCAGACTCATGTTACCTCCACTGTGAACTGTCTGGAATGTTTGCTTTTCCAATTACACAGAAAGTTTAGCTGGAGTTCCCTTACACTTTCACTATTTTCCAGTCTGCGTCTCTAACACTTCCTTACTGCATTGACTGCCCATGGGCCTGGCCTTGCCCACAGCATCACGCACACCCGCATTCACTGGTGTGAGTTTGTGCTACAGCATAGAGCAAGGTTCAGTCATCTTGGGAACCCAGCCAGCAGCTCCCTTTAGGGAGGATCTACCCTGTAAGGGTGGAAAAAGGAAAGGTGAGTGAATATTCTCTCCCTGGTGGCTGTCTGAGTATGAGACTCCTGCTTTGTAGAATGCAGTTCCGAAATGTGTGTCTGTCATGTACTCTGGCTCCCCAATGTAAGTTAAAAGTTTCATCTGGTGCCTAACTAAAGAAACATCCATCTGTTCACATGTGCACAGATCAGCTGGCTACATTGAATTATAGGAGCAAGGCATAATGGTCATCAATGAGGAATGAAAATGGGTCCCCGTTCTGTGCTTTGCAGTCATTTAAAATGTTATTCAAAGTAATCCTGACTCTACACAATTTTTGTTAGTAGCTCTGTGGCAGAACTGGTCTCCTTCATATGCCAGGGCTGGCTGGGCCTAAGGGACCAGTGTCCAGTCAATAAGGTAAAATGATGTCAGCACATTCCTTCTTCCTGTCCCATAAGTATATTTTGTGGGATGTGCCTGCCTCGGTGACTCAGGCCTCCTTTTGAAGCAGATGAGGCTGACCCAGCACACATCAGGCACTAAAGGAGCAAGACATTGATGTTTGTGTGCTAGGTAGCAGAAATTGCAGGGTTTATTTGTTGTGGAAACACAGCCTGGCCTATCCTATCAACTTGACATAAAGCTCCTAACCCGGTAGGACATAGAGCTCCTAATGTTTACCTCTGAGCGTCCTGCAGAGTAAAGCATAGAACTCAGACTGTTGCATAACAAATACATGAAGAAATGAATGAGTACTTGTGCTTGTTCACCAGGCCACTGGTGACTCCCCCAGGAAGAGCCTCCTCTCAGCTCTGGCTGCCAGGGACTTCATGAGTGCTCATCATATACCCTTTGGAGTATAGCAAAGGCTCAGTAAATCTAGGTCTGTGAGCAGAGAGCTCTGCCTTTCCCACCCTGGGGAAGAGGCCCTGCCTTCGTTTTGGGACTTGGCTACAACATGAAGCTGTCTTTCCTCAGGAATGTCATTACAAACATCCTATGTTTGCTAATAATTACATGGTAAATAGCCGGCACTGGGATCTATTTCAGTCTCAGGAAGAAGTACAAGGACCGAAACAAGCCATTTTTAGCAAGATTTCCACCCGAGCTGTGAATCAGCTCCACTTCATGAACATGAGGCTAAGACAAGCTGGAAGGGCACTGTGAACCTGCCTTCTTGCAGGAGCCGAAGTGGAATGTCACAGGAAGAAAGATCTTGGTGGAGAAGGCTTTGGCTGACTCTAAGGCCAGAGGTAGCTTGACAAGAGAATAAAATATTTATGTCAAGAAACTGATTCTAAGGTGAAAGATTCCCAGGTATTTTAGATTTTAATTAATTTAATAGATATAGTTACATGCTGCAAAATGATGTTTTGGTGAAGAAGGGACCAGATCTATGACATTAGCTTTGTAATATTCTGTTGCCTGCTGATATCATAGTCTTCTTATAAGTACAAGCTATGATGTTTGCACAGTGATAAAATCACCTAGTGGCACATTTCTCAGAATGTGTGCCCACCAATAAGCAATACATTAATGTATATTTATTAGTGAGGTGTGGGAAGAAAAATATATTTGGAATAATAAATTCTCCCATTAGTGAGCTTCTAATCCTTGCTAAGCTTTAAACCCATCTTTTCTTACATCAGCAGCTGGGGGGATTCACATTTCACTATGAGGCAAGCTCATTAAATTAGAATGGCATCTTTAAAGTCTTAAATTGGAAAGTGGTAGAACTGAATTCTAAACAGAGGGACTATCTGACCCTTAAATTGTATATATTCTACTGTAGGATGCCACCTTCCAGGAAATGTTCCCCAGATACCCAGGTGCATACCTGAAATATAAGAAGTGGGAGTATGTGAGTATGTTATGGGGCTGTCCAGTTGGAGGTGGCCTAGTCATGTTAAACTTCAAAAAGAACCTCTTAATTGCCTAAAGAGCTTACTTCCTCATGTCCAGGTCCCCAAAAGCAGAGCCAGAGACAAAGATTTAGGTGCAGGTGCTTTATTTGTAAATGATTATTGATAGGGTGGTCATAGGGTTCCAATAAAGGAATACCCACCATAAGTAGCACAGGAAGAGACTCAGTGAGGGAGACAGACTTGACTTCACAACCCTGAAAAATACCTGTTCCATGCTTCCTGCCTGTTCTTTCTCCTGTACTGGGGCATTTCCTGCACAGGGGCAGGCATTTCATACCTGAGCTGAGATACAGAGGTTTTCTGCCATTCTTCAGGACCCTACTAAAGCAGCTAGGTCAAAGCAAAGTGATCAAAGGCTTGGGTTAGTAAGAGAAAGAAAACATAAGGAGTTGAATAAATCTGGACAAACAGAATTCCAGTCAGCTGGCATCTATGCCTACTTTGCCTGGAAGTCTAAAAGGAGACTAGACTGAGTCCATCCCTACTTCCTGGTCTCTCTTGGAGAGCTAAACACTAGCTCAGCCAGGAGCAAACCATTGGAAATGGGCTCAGGAACTGCACTGCCTGGGTTGCTGTCTTATTGTGTGACTTTAGAGGAAGTTCCTTCCTGCATCGGGTTCCTTACCTGTGTAAAACCAGTAACAGCAGTGCCTGGGTGAGCTAGTGCATGTTAAACACCAAAATCCTAATTGTGGTTTGGGCTTTCTACAGTAACGGCAGCCAACTGATTTCTAAGAACTGGAATGTTATACTGTTCTTCATGTATCAGTTCATTTCCTCACATCCACTCTGGAAGGGACTGTCATTCCCATCCACTAAATATAGGACTTGTGACCCAGAGATCCAAAGTGGTTAGAAAAATGACCCTCAACATCACACAAGGTAAGATTGAGATTCAAATCAGTCTTTCAAACCTTTCCCTCCTCCCTCACACGGCCTTGCATGAGCTCACCTCCTTCTCTCAACCTCTGGTTGGTACAGGCATTATCAACCCTACTTGGAAATAAGGAGACTAAGGGACAAAGAGAGTTGAATGATTTGTACAAGGTAATTTGTATGTGGTGGAGCTGAGACCTAAACTTAGGGTACCTATTTCACTGCATCACACCTGCAGATGCCCCTCTCCCTATTCCTGTTCTTCCTCATTATCATCATCATCAGTGGTGGCAGAATGACTGTCCTTGGAGCCACAGTAAGGGAAGGGAGGTCATAAAAGGGCACAGATATGTGTGAGGCAAAACAGTCTTTTGACTTCTCGGTGCCACTTACCTTGCTATGAGCGCAGATGGCCGAGCCCAGGAGCTTCCAGGTGCCACCCCTCCGGTCCATCCGCAGCATGCGCAGGATCTGTAGGAAGCGCAAGCTTCGCAGGGAGGTGGCCAGGACATTGCCCTGGTTTCCCACAGCAACTACAGGCACAGAGGCAATCAACACAAAGATGTCTGGGGAAGGAGAGACAGTAGCAAAGAAGAGGGTGAAGAATGTCAGGCAAAAGCAATGGCATCGTCATAGGTGGCAGATGAACATGTGTCAAGCAGGGAGAATGATTGTGTTGAATCTTGACATTAACCACTTAGGATAATGCAGTTATTCCAAGGGGGCTAACTGGGAAACAGGAGCTCTGAAAGTGGCCCTCCAAGGCCACATAGCAAGAAGCAGTTGAGGTGGGGATGGACACATGTCTGTTGTCCTCCAACATAAGTTCTTGCCCCAGAAGCAATGATTTCCCAAGTCTCCCAGTGTACGAGTTGAGATTCATTCTGAGATTAACTAAGGATCAAGGAGCCAGGACTGTTCATACTACGAAGGTGAAGTCTACTGCTCAGAAAGTTTTAATGTAGGTTTCTCCAGAAAGTATCTCCTGAGACCGGAAATTGTCTGCAGGTAATTTATTGGGAGATGATGCCAAGAAGCGTAAGTGATGGGAGAGAGACAGGGAAGCAAAACCAAAGAAAACAAGCAAACAAAAACAATAAAGAAGTGTTTGTAATCAAGCTCCCTGTCTGGTCCTTTGAACTATAGAACATCTCCCAAGATAATCCATCTGGAAAGTGGAAAGTTGGGACATCAGTCCTTTCACTCATTTCTTGCTAGTTGAGGGTCTGTCCTGGGGTTACTCCCCATATATTTGAAATGCAACTGGCCTCCTGACTTTCAGAGGAGGCCTAGTGGTAGGTTGTGGAAAGATATGAGCCTAAGATGTGAGTCTATCAGGAAGTAATAAGATGTCCAGCATAGCCATGGCTGAAGTCTGAGGTGGCTGAAGGGATAGGACACTTCTGAAAGGGCCAGCTGGGTCCCAGAGTCAAACAGTCCATTATAGAAGAGAGGAGACCTGATTTCTCTCTGTTTCCTGAAGTGGTAGCCAATATTCACGTCTGTGATGTCCCCACTGTCCTGCAGAGGTGTAAGAAGTAAAAAGGCCCCTATGGTTAAGGAAATTTGGGAATAGCCCAATTAAACAGGAATTATTTTCTCCTACAGGATTCTCTGAATCTTTAATATGCTAATATGCACTGTGGATTTCAATTACACAAATGAAGTACAGGGTTTTTCAAAATACTTTTTCTTATTAAACTTTGTTTTATTTTTTATTTTTTAATTTATTTTTTTTTCTGGTACCAGGAATTGAACTCACGACCTCGTGCTTGCCAGGCGGGCGCTGTGCCGCTGAGCTAAATCCCCAGCCCCACTTTGTTTTAATGTCTCAAAATTCTATGACACATGTTTGGTCAAGTTGTCTCCACTTAAAAGTACTGACTTGAAAAACTAGTAACTTAAAACTGCTACCCACAAATCGTCTACAAAACATTCTCCTTTCCATCTGAAAGTTTTATCAAGCATTGTTTCTACTAACCAGTCTTTTGCTACTGGGCCTAAATGGCCCAGTGAGACCAACAGCTCTGCAATGATCTTCCACCATCAAGGAGCTCTGGGATGGCAGGAGTTAGGGATAATACTCATTTGGTTTGCTGAACTTGGTGACATGCTGACCTCATGAGTTCCAGTAGCCTTCCTGTCCACTGCTTTGATGACCTTCAGAGCAACTGTCTGTCTCATGTCACAAACAGCAGAATGACCCAGAGGGGCACAGTCAGAGAAGCTCTCACCACCCACATATCTTTTTTTTTTTTCCCTGGTACCAGGAATCGAACTCATGACCTTGCACTTGCCAGGCAGGCGCTGTGCCACTGAGCTAAATCCCCAGGCCCCCACACACATACCAATGAAGCAGCATCACCAGTTCTCTGGAATTTAGAGCCATCTTCCCACTTCTTACTAGAATGGTGATTCTCTTTACTTTCAGCTCAGTAAACTTGCAAGCCATGTGAGCTCTTTGACATTTCCTGACAGGGCAGAGCCGGAACTGACTTGGCCTGGATGGTTCATCTAGAAGTGAAGTCAGCTGTTTCCACTGGTGGGTCATTTTTGCTGTCACAAGCAGGATTGCCATGATAAACATCTTTGAGCGACATATTCCTGACATTAGAGCCCAGAGTCTCCAGGAAGTGCTTCACTTGGAGCTTCCTAGTGCAGCTCAACAGATTTTGCTTCAGTTGTGACATTGACTGGGACAAAAGTGATGACTTTGCCAGGTTTGTGAGCACCAGGCTCCACTGGGCACACCTATACCACTAATGCTACAGACATCCTGCAAAGGCTTGTCAGCTGGATGAGCTTGTGTTAGGGTACAATTCAGAGCTCCATCAGTGTGGTTTGGTTCCCCTGGCATTGCCATCTTTACTGGTGACATTCATCCCTAGAACCAAGGCATGTTGTCTCCATTCCAGTAAGACACTGGCACACAGGTTGCTGTGTCAGAGTTGTGGCTAGTTTTCTTAACACAGATGCTAGCTTCCTTAATTATTTCTTTGTGTCTCTTCTGCTGTACAGTAGCTCTGCGGTATCAATTTTGCTAACACCACCAATGATTTGTTTCACACCCAGGGTGTAAGCTAGAAGGACATGCTTACAGGCCGGAACATTCTGGGAGATAGTAGTTTCAAGTTCACCAACACTAGCAGTAACCATGGGGAAAGCCCAGTCAGCCTGAGACGTGCATGGAGTCATATTTTTGATAAAGTCCCTGTGTCCTAGGGCATCAATGATACTTAATTCTTGCTTGTGTCAGTTTCCACAATGTGATCTCAGTGGTGACACCACACCACACACATGTTCAGCTACCCAATACCCAGGTATACTTCAAGGAGCCCTTTCCCAGCTCAGCAGCCTCTTTCTCAAAACTATCTATGGCTCTTTTGTTGTCTCCACCACATTCGCAGGTCAAGGACCAGTAATGGTAGCCCTGCCTTAATAAGCCCAAAGATAATGATGTTGGTGTGACTCTTTTCCTTTCCCATTATGACTTTGATTTGGGGGTGGTTTTCATAGCACCTGTGCTCTGGCAGGAAATTTGTGGGGAAAAAAAGAAAGCTCCCCAAAGATTTTGATCCCAGAAGTAGTTTTTGCAAGAGCACCAGGGTTCTAAGGAACACACATAAAGAAATGTTTGTGGGAGCTCCTTTAGTCATTTGGCTCCTGAGAAACTTCTGGATGTATCGGTGGTTTGCTGAGCTAGCAGTGCTCTCTCACACCTCCATGTGTTTGTATGTTCTTCTCTGTCAGCTTGGAAAGCATTCTTCATTTCACTCTAGGGATGTTTACAAAAAAAGACTTTTCTACTGTCTCCAGGTGTCCCCCCGATGCACCTGATCTTTGGGAAAATCAATGCATCAAACATCTCGGTACTGATCAGTCTGTTCCACTGGACAGGCTTCTTAGTTTTTCTGTGCAAAGCTATCCACTTATAGTGTTCACAGCAAAAAAACAAAAACAAAACCAAAACAAAACAAAAAAACCAAAACCAAAACAACATCCAGATGCACCATAAATGCTAGGGTTACAGTGCTCTGTGAGGATGGCATCTTGTCCCAATGAACCCATCTGGATCTAGAGTGTCAGGGTCTGAGGCTGCCTTGAAAGAGAAGCCATGATATTTACGGACATGATCACCATCTTCTTGTCAAATACACAGGAAAAACTGACATTACTACAGGGGCTACCTTATGGAAGAAGTAGAGATGAGAGGGTGGAATGCAGGGAATGATACCAGAAAAGAAGGATGTGTGAGACAGCACAATTTCAGGGGAAATTTAGTTACTTTTTTTCTTCTCCCTTCTTTCACCCTCTTTCTGTATCTGCTCTCACTTTTCTTCCTTTCATCTCTCCACTTCTTCCTTCCATGTCTACTGCAAGTGTATCTGTATGAAAGCAGATTTGTTTTTCCCTTTTGGAATGATCTGTCTAATGCTGGCTGGTTAGTGTGTGTGTGTGTGTGTGTGTGTGTGTGTGCGTGTGTGTTTATGTGTCTGAGTGTGTGTATCTGTCTGAGGGAGTGTGTGTATGTGTCTGTCTGAGTGTGTGTGTATGTCTGAGGGAGTATGTGTGTGCATGTGGATATCTATTTGAGGGTGTATATTTGTGTGTATGTTTATGTGTCCAAGTATGTGTGTATCTGAGTGTGTGTGTATGTATGTGTGTATCTGCTTATTTGAGAGTATATATTTGTGTGTATGTTTATGTGTCTGAGTGTGTGTGTATCTGCCTTTCTGAGGGTGTGTGTATGTATATGTGTCTGACTGCGTGTGTGTATGTATGTGTATGTGTGTGTATGTTTATGTGTCTGAGTGTGTGTGTATCTCTCTGAGGGTGTGTGTATGTGTTTATCTGTCTGAGAGTGTGTGTGTATGTTTATGTGTCTGAGTGTGTGTGTCTGTCTGAGGGTGTGTATATGTGTGCATCTATCTGTCTGAGGGTGTGTGTGTGTGTGTGTGTATGTGTGTGTATGGTGGGGTTAATGATGGGATGGACTCAAATTCAAAGAAGTTTTCATCCAGGGTGGGACACTCTAGTGTGTGGAACTTGGAGGCCTACAGGACAGACACCTCCCCATGGAAGCATCTCCATGGTCCCGAGATGGGACATAGTACCAGGGCTCCAGGCTACCCACTTTTCCTCCTTTCCTGGAGGCACAAGCCATCACATCTGGCTTCTTTTCTGGTGTTACTTGTTGCATTTTCAATCCTACTCATTTCAATTGCTTTCATAATGTGGATCTGGTAGCAATGTTATTTTTCTATGTTTTGGTGCTTGTGATGATTAATCCTGGTATGTCAGCTTCATTAGATTAACAAATGCTTAGCAGATTATTAGAACACACTCTTAGGTGTGTCTGGGTGAGTCATGGAGGCATGGTTTTGGGTACTATTTTTGGTCCCAAGTCTGTTCCTCTCTAGCATTGTTGTCCTGCTCTACCCAGGTGCCATGAATTAAGTATCTTTGCTCTGCTACACCTGTCTACCATGAAGTTTCTACCCTAGAGCCCGTCAACCATGGGCTGAATCCCTGAGTCAAATTAAATCTCACAGCTGTCAGTGTCAAAAAGCTGACTAACACAGTGTTGCTTCTCTATAGAAGGGCAGGTCAAGGACTGGACCAGCCTCACAGTGCCCTGTGACTTCCAATAACAACTGCTGAAAAATTCCTCAGAGAAATAATGCAAAACAGAGGGGATGGAGGTGACCACTGGATGTGGTGGCAGGGCTTACCCAGCATGCACAGGGGCTTCCTGGCAAACTTCAGGCGTCCCCGCCAGCCTTTGTATCGGCAGCAACATCCTGCAGCCCAGATCCTCAAAGCAAACTCAGCTCCAAAGATGAAAATAGCAAATGTTTCCTGTATGGCAGAGCATGTGGAAAGGACCAATTAACTGGGACCCAGCTGTTGGGACCAGAGTTTTCTGATGATACGAAGAGCAGTGCTGTTGTTTTGGAGGGGAAAATGGGTGGGGGGGACCTCTGGTCACTCCCATTCAGCCATGGAGAGTTCTCCTCTTTTTTCAACTGTGCTAAGAGTCCCTAAATTTCTAGGCCTTGCAAAGTGATTCTTTGTTCTCTTTTTCTACGCTTTTGTTCCAGTGGATCATTGTTTAAAAGAAAAAGTCCCTTCACTCTATTAAAAGCCCCTGAGAAGTGAAGTTGCTAGGAAAAGACCTTGATCTACTAGTTCCACACAGTGCTGGCCTCTGTTTTTCGTAAATGTGACCAATGGCTTCTAAACCAGCAATATGGCCAGGCAATGCCCCAAGTATTTCACAACCCTCAATGTATGTTTTGAAAAAACAAAGCAGAGGCAGGTTTTAGGATGGAGGACATCTTTGTGTTAACTTTCAAAAGATTGGGAAACTGTGTTTTATAATTTAGTAATATGTAATGGTTCTTGCTTTGACTTGCTTATAGCCTTTATCCCTAATCTAGACTATAAATCCTTACCAGAAACTGCATTCTGTGCCCATGTAGGCCTCACTAAATGGGGAAGGTGTGGCATTTTTTTTGACCTGAACTTGCCGAACTTGCCTGGAGACCCCAGGATGCCACAGGTAGGCAGGCAGAACTGTTGCCAAGGGCAGTGTCATTCTCATTCCCAGGGAAGTCCCACCAAGGTTTGGGTCCCAGGACACAGGGCCAGCACAACGAGCAGCTCACCAGCAACAGAAGCCAGTCTCCTGAGACGGTCTCATACTCCTTGAAGGTGGTCAGAACGGCCAGGATCAAGCACCCCAGGACAATCAGGAACCTGAAGGAAAGGAAGGAGAGTAAGACATTTTTAGTCTCATTTCCTACATGGACAGAAAGTGCAAAGTGGTGGCTGGGGTGAAACAGCATCTCCCACTGGACTCTACTGAAGTGGGCTTTATACCTTGTCCTATTTAATCTTTAGAGTAACCTGTAAGGCAGACGGGAGTTATTATTCTAGTTAAAAAAAAAAAACCAGGAGGCTAAGCAATCATCTACTTTTACTTAATCAGCCAGTAAGTAGAGTTAGTTAGTTAGGAGTCAAAGTGGATCTTTTGTTCCCAGCACTGGGGACCTGCAGAGCACTGAAAGGCCACAAGTTACCACAAGTTTGGGAAGCACAAAAATGAATAAATTAATAAAATATCATGCATGTGTAAGACTAAGACTGTGATTTTAAAATATACAAAAAGACTGTTAGTATAAAGAAAACATAAATTCATTTCAAAGATGGATAAATTCAACAAACACTTTTGTCCTCAGGTTTGAGCATTATTTTTTTTTATGTAGTCAGTGGTTACTAAAGGAAAGCTCTTTCAACTGGGGATACTCAGAATTGTTTCTGAAATGCTAGAAATAATAGGAGGCTCTACACTGAAGGATGTGGGATGCCGGTGCTTTAAAATTCATATAAAGATCATCTGGTCCATGCCCCTACCTCAGACTGAAGTAAACTGAAAATGGTCCTTTGAGATTTTCATCTTCATATGAACTCTCCAACTCTAGGTAATCTGGCTCCCTACCTCAAAATTCCTAATCCCCTTCTATGATGGGATATTATGCTTGAAATACATGACTTCTACCCATGCCTGGAATTTGTCTATCCTGAGTGGCAACTTTCTTCACAGTTGATGATGATGCTGTTAACTGTTGGTTCACCATTCCTGTTTAGTGAACACCTACCACCTACCACTGTACATGTGCAGCTCATCATCCTTACAACACACTCCAAAAGATCAAAATGCCACTCACATGCTGAAGAACTGTTGAGAACAAAGTTGTCTAAAGTGCAGTGTCTGAGTCCTGGAGTGCAACCATTCATTGCAGCCTTATGTGAGCAACTTTTCCTTTAGTCAGCATTGAATCTGGAGCTAGAGCCCATGGTTGAATTAGGGTTTGGGGAGGAGGAAAGCATGACACCTCAAAGTGAATCATTTTGGCAGAAGTAGGGGACTTCAGGCAGACTCTGACCCTCTTCCTACCCTCCCATACTTGGTGTAAACCTTGCGAAGATTCTCCATGGTGCTGCTTGTGGTGAGCATACCCTAAGGTGAGCTTGGGCGAGTCATGCCCATATAATTACCTTCCTTGACCTTGCAGTGTGTCTAATGGTAGAATGTGACCCAGGTAATGGGATGTCACTCTTTGGGTTTAGTTTTGTAGTATGGCAAAGACAATGGGATATTCACACTGGTGACCTTATACCTTGTATAAGGCTCTGTCTTCATAGACTGCAGCCAGCCTTGATGTGAGCTCCCATATTGAGAAGGGCCTGTGAGGGTTTTGTAACAAGGAGCTGCACTGGCTTCCAGAACCTGAGAGCAGCCCCCAGTTGAGGACCAGCATGAAGGTGGGACCTGTTCCACACCACAAGGATCAACCTTCAGGAGAGCTTGGAGGATGCCTTCACCTTCCTAAAAAGGAATATACCCTGCCAACACCTTGACTTCTGCTTTGTGAGATCCCAATACAAGACCTAGTTAAGCCATAAACAGACTCTTGCTGCTCAGAAAGTGAAATAAACAAATGTGTGTTGTCCTGGCCCATTAAGTTAGTGACAACTTGTTACACAGCAATGGAAAACTCACTGTGGAGCAGGAATCTACATCAACTGCATCCATTTCTACAGAGTGGAGCATGCACATGATGTTGGGCTCCATCTATTCATGCCAGGCACAGAGATGGTGGGGTTTCTTTGTATCTTAGGGACTGGCTCAAGACCTGGCTCCTAGTAGAAGCCATAAATATTTAGACTGTGAGTATTAGTACTGATACAATTTTAGTGGTCAGAGATGGCCTTTTTGTTGAAATTAAGGGTACAGAATAGGAGGCAGGTTTTGAGGGGGGCAGGACAGGAGAGGTTTTAGAGGCTACATGGACAATTTGTACTGCACTTTGTTTTATAGATTTTACATGCACATATACATGGGGTGATTGAAAAATACAGTGGCCTACTGCTCTTCCTCCATCAAGGTAGCCATTGAAGAGCCTTAGTGGGCCCCAAGGGAGGGGACAGATCCCAACAACTGTGCTTCCACAGTTGAGAGAGCCTCTGTGAGATGTAAGGAAGGGGATACCCTCCACCTTCACAGAAGTCTCCCTCTGGAGGAACTCGGGTGCTTGTCTCATCCCCATACACCACTGGATGGGCAGCCAGGGTGGGAAATGCCTGAGACATGGCAAATGACTTGTCTGGGTAAATCCGCTCTAAAAAGGGGAAACACTTTGCATACAAATTCCTAATTTATAACTGGTTCTGTTATATGACTACAGATTTTGCTCCTATTGTCTAAAGTACAAAACTAATAGTTGTGACACTTCATCAATATCTAAATTGTGCTTGTTGCTATCATTATTCCTAACTGAACTGTTGTAGCTAAGATGTCACATCTATTATAATCAATTGTTCTCTCATGTGTAGCAATATGGGCAAGCTCTGGGGTAATAACTTCACTTGACCCTACACCAAAAGACTGGGAAAAGAGCCAAACAGAAACCAACATTCCACTCTCAATTAATTCAGAAGGTAGGATCTTGAGACAGACACAAACCAAGAATATTCTAAGCAAAGAGATATTCCTGAAGAACAGACTTTTCCTAGAGAGGACTTGATACTAGTAATATAGCTACCTATTACCAAAACTCACAAGGATCATCACAGAAAACAAAATAAAAACTTTTTTGAAAGAGAAAATGTCAAGACAAAGGAGCAAAATGCAATCTAAGACCTCCAGCCTACCCGGAACAAATCCAAGAGATATTAACATAGAAGACATTGGAAATCATACACCTGAAATTTCTGAAATGCTAGCAGCTGAAGTAAAGAAACAACTCCAGAAGGATATGGAGGAAATTAGATGAGAAATAATCTCTCAGGTAAGACAAATGACAACAATAATGAAAGAATTTCTCAGCATATCTAAAGGAGACATAGATTTAAAAAATAGAGGATCATAGGAAAATGATGGAAACCTTGAATGAACAATATAGGAAAGAATTAGAATTCATGGAACAAATTCAAAGAGATATCCTGGAAATTAAAAATTCCACTGAAAGCTGGCAAAACTGCTGGAATGAAACTGAAGATAGATTTTCAGACCTTGAAGACAGGATTGCAGCTAGTGATCATGGTAGGAAAAATCTCTTAAAAATAACAAGGAACCAGGAAATAATAAACAAATGCAAGATTATGCAAAGAAAAATAATGTAAGACTGATAGTGTCAAAGAAAAAGCAGGAGTTAACACAAATGACATAAAAAGGTATTTGCAGAAGTAATAGCAGAAAATTTCCCAAGCATGGAAAAGAATCTAACATATAGTTAAATGAGGCATATAGAATTCCAATTAGCCATACTCAAAATAAATCTACACCCAGACATATAATAATCAAGATTTGAGAAATTCAGCACAAGAACAGACTATTAAAAGCTGTTAGAGAAAAAAAAAAAACAGATTACCTATAATGGAAAGCCCATTAGAATCATGGCAGATTTCTTAACAAAAACCACCTAGTCAAGAAGAGCTTGGAGTAAATTATTTCAAGTCCTGAAAGAAAACAATTTCCAACCCAGATTGACATACCCTGAAAAACTATCTTTCAAAATTAATGGAGAAATATGATACTTCCACAACAAAGAACAAGTGAAGAAATTCATGATCACCAAACAAACCCTACAAAGAGTACTGAAAGATATTCTAGAGACAAAAATGACCACAATTCTAAGAACAACAACAGAAAGAAACCACCAAGAAGGGCAAGCAGTTAAGCAAAGGGGAAAAGTAAGGAACCAACAGCAGGAAAATAACATGAAAAAGATAAACCAATACTTGTCAGTTATAACCATTAATGTAAGTGGCCTCAATTCACTGATCAAAAGAAACACATTAGCAGAGTGGATCAAGAAACAAAATTCAAAAGTATGCTGTATACAAGAAACACATTTAACTCAAAATGAAACTCAATGATTGAAAGTCAAAGGATGGAAAACAACACTCCATGCAACAGAAACCCACAAAAAGCAGGAATAGCTTTTCTGTTTCCAGATAATGTGGACTTCAAGAATGATGAAAAGAGATAAAGAAAGGCACTACATGTTTGCTAAGGGAAAACTGCAAGAAGAAGAGATAACAATTGTAAATATCTATGCACCAAATACAGGAACACCCAACTATATAAGACAAATTTTAACAGACATGAAAAATGAAATAAGCAGTAACACAGTCACAACAGGGGACTTTAACATCCCATCGTCACAAAGAGATAGATCAACTAGACAAAAAGTCAGCCAAGAAATAACAGAATTAAACCAAACTTGTGAACAAATGGACTTCATAGACCTTTACAGAGTGTTCCATGCAGTAACATCAGAATGGAAAGATATTCCTTGGTCATGGATAGGAAGAACCAACATTATGAAAATGACCATACTCTCAAAACTGTTACACAGACTTAATGCAATCCTGACCAAAATACCATTAGCATACCTCACAGATCTAGAGAAAACATTCCTAAGATTTTTCTAAAGGAGAAAAAAATTCATCTGGAACAAGTAGAGACCTAGAATAACAAAGGCAATACTGGACAACAAAGACAAGGAAGGAGGCATCACAGTCTCTGACTTGTACTACAAACTATGGTGATAAAATCAGCATGGTACTGGAAAAAAAAAAAAGACCTGAGAATAAATGGAGCAGATCTGAAAATGCAGACATAAGTACAAACATACTCAGCCAATTTATCTTTGACAAAGGGATCAAACATGTTCACTGGAAGAAAGCCT